GCTTTGAACGCAGACGAGTCTGCCCGCCGAAACATGCAAACCGCCTGAAACATTCTCGCAATATGGCCTCCGTGTGGTTCTGAAACAAGCGCCTCGCCCGAGACATCGTCAGAAACTGCTCTGAACGCAGACGAGTCTGCTGTGGGGGAGTCCTATGGGGGAGTCCTATTGGGGAGTCCTATGGGGGAGACATATGGGGAGCCAAGGAGCGGGAATGTGTTATTTTCTTTTCTTCTGCGCGGTGCTAAAGATATCGTTCCGCGAAAACCGCCCCCAAGAATTATTGAATTACGGTGCGGTGCTAACGAGAACCCTGGGGGGGTCTTAATTGCTTATTGAGGTTAGGCTCAGGGACGGATAGGTGTTCGGACTGTTTCGTCGGTTCCCAGAGGTTTTCCAGCTTCGGGATGCTCTCCGGCAGCTGCGCCTCGCTGAGAGCGTTCTGTGGGTGCCCAAGTCCAGGCCCGAAAATCACCAGGGGATAGGCTCGAGGGGCATGCATCGGCCCCAAGTCGCCCATTCATCGCCGATGAGGGCATGCTGGCCCACAGCCCAGGAGCGCGCGGATGCGCTGTCGGGGGCCCATCACCGACCTATCGGCGATGTATCGCCAATTCCAGGTCGATGTTTCCCCCCTGAGCCAGTCCCCACTGTCGTTCCAACTCAGCCGTGGCAAACACCGAGCGCTAAACGCGCAGGCGGAGAATCAGCAGGCGAGGGCGCTCGAACTGAATCGCGCACAACTGGATGCAGCATCACATCCGGACGCACGAATGCTGCGAAGCTGGCCCTCAGCGGATACGGCATGCACGGCAGACAGATCCACGCGCTTCGATCAGTCAGTAGTGTATACGTGTGTAGCTGCCTGTGCCTCTGTACGTATGCCTGTCGATGCCCCCCCCACACACCAAGCGGGTCGCAGCGTACACGAAGTAGGTAGGCACGCGAATCGCAGTCCACGCAGTCGTGCATGTACTCCAGATTTCGTAATAAAAGGGAGGGGGTCTGGACCCTCCAAGACAAGCCATTTCAGACCCCCCCTCGTGGGAGAACCCTCCAAAACATCGTCCCCAGACCCCCCCAGGCCCTCCAAGATAGCCTGGAAGAGACCCCCCCCGAAATGAGACCCCCGTCCCTTTATTACGAAATCTGGAGTAGGTAGGCACGCGAATCGCAGTCCTCGCAGTCGTGCATGCACGCTTCATCCCTTCCCTCCCGTCCTCCGCGCTCCTCCTGCCACCCGCTCGTCCTCGCCCCACCGCAGCGTCAGGCCCTCTCCCCTCCTGCGCTCCCCCGGGGCCGCCGCCGCGCGCTCGCGCGCGCGCCGAGGCGTCGCCTGGCAGGACCCCCGGACCCCCGTGTCGAGCACGGGGGTCGCGAGCGGAAGAGCACGCGCCCGGCGTCCCGCGCAAGAGGGGGCTGCCAGGCGGGGGAGGAGGGGAGAGGAGGGGGCGAAGGAGGACGGGGGACGGGGGGGAAAGGCGGCAGCAGGGGGAGGGGCGGGGATGGTTCAGGAGCTGGGGGGAGGAGGAGGAGGAAGTTGCAGGGAAGGAAGATGATGGGGAGAGGGGGAGGGGGGTGAGGAGGAGGAGGAGGAGGAGGAGGAGGAGGAGGAGGAAGAGTCGTCAACGATGTTGGAATAAACCCTCCCTCCAAGCTCCCTCTTCACAGGCCCCTACAACGGTTCATCTCCATTGGAGGAACTGCCTCTTTGGAAGACAACCGTTTGAAGAACCTGAAGCATGCCAAAACATTGTTCTCGGGATTCCAACGCCACGGATCAACTTGACTGTTGCGTCTTGACAATCCTGAATCGCGCCAGAAAGCCATTCTTGGGAATTCAACACAGCTAATCAACAGAACTGCTGCACCCGCATAATCCTGAATCCTTTCAAAACACTATTTCTGGCACGTTGATGATGGGAATACATGAAGCCCTTGCAAATGTTTAAAACGAATGTGCACCGCGCTAAGGCGAGAGCCACAGTTTGAAAAGGAACCGCCCTCAATCCGTGAAACTCTTGCATTTGTTTAACACGAGTGTGCGCCGCGCTAAGGCGAGAGCCACAGTTTGAAAACGGCCCGCCCTCAATCCGCGAAACTCTTGCGAATTTTGACACGAATATGCGCCGCGCTGAGGCGAGACCCACAGTTTGAAAAGGAGCCGCCCTCAACCCGTGCAACCCTTGCAAATTTCTAAAACGAATACGCTCCGCGCTAAGGCGAGAGCCACATGTTGAAAACGACCCGCCCTCCATCTGTGAAACTGCTGCCAATTTTCAAGCTTCAGACGAATAAGTGGTGAGGAAGTCTCAGGCGAAACGCCTGGCCCGCCCTAAAAACTGGCCTTCGGGTGCGACAGGGAGAAGTTATGTATCAGGAAAAGGAATGGAGGAGGATCTTCTGTCTGGGACTTCCCAGGACCACCGAACTTTTTAGGCCAGTCTCCCCCCCTCCATCCTCCGCCGCTTCTTCCCTGCCCCACAAAACGTTGGATAAGGAGGGGGAACAGGAGGATGACCAGAGGAAACCCAGGACGCATCTACAAGATTGGAATACCCCCTCCCTTCCCAAATCTCCTTCTCACAAGTCCCCACTAGCATGCCTTTTCACTACAAGAAGCGCCCCAAGAAAAACATAAGAACCGAGCACCGCATAGGCCTGCCTCTCAGGCGAAAGCCCCGTTTTGACAAGGAAGTGCCCAGCGTCTTTCCAGCGGGTTATAGGGAATGCGTCATGGCAGGATCAAGATCAACGAGATGCCCAGCTAGAGCCCCGTTTTGAAAAGGAGTCGCCCCACATCGGCGCGATTGCTTCTCAAGCTCATTGTTCTGGATACTATGTTTGAGGAGTTGTAGAGTGAGAAGATGATCCAGAACAGTATCATTCAAGAAACCTGGGCCAGCTGCCCGAAGGTTTCCCGAGCCAAACCTGGGCCAGTCTCTGTTGTTAATGCTGGAGGGGCGAACGTGCTCACGAAACTGGGCCAGCGTTCCGGCAAGTTGGTTGAGAAACGTTGGCGCAGTTTTTCGGAAGGAGGTTTCTTAACCAGATGCTGGACTGCACAGATCGAGAAATTAGGCTCAAAAAGGTACAGCCCTCAATACTTGTATGTGCTCGATCCCGACCTCGTCTTCGCCCGCACAGTAGGGAGGAGGAGGAGGAGGAGGAGGAGGAGGAGGAGGAAGAGAAGGAGGAGGAGGAGGAGGAAGAGGAGGGGGAGAAGGAGGAGGAGGAGGAAGAAGGAGGAGGAGGAGGGAGGGAAAAGATGGGTCGGAGGAGGAGGAAGAAGAAAGGCTTCTTGGGGCCGTCCTGGGGCTTCCTGGGAGCTCCCTGAAAGCTTCTTCGGGGCCTCTTGGGGTCTTGGGGCCCTCTTGGGAGCCCCTTGCACAAATCTCTGGGTCCTCTCGGCGCGACTTTGGGCCCTCTTGGGGGCCTCTCGGGCTGTCTTGGAGCTAGATTGGAAGCCTCTTGGAGGCCTCGTGGGCCGTCTTGGGCGGTCGGAAGCCCGAACAGGCGAGAATTTCAAATCCTTCAAAAACTTAAGGCAATCAATGGTTTGGGCACCCTCGGGCTCTCCAGGAAGCCCCCTTGGAGCTCTCTTGGGCCGTCTTCGGGGCCTCTTGGGCCGTCTTTGGGCCCTCTTGGGGGCCCCTTGGCTAGTCGTGAGGCCGTCTTGGAAGACTCTTGAGCTGTTTTGGGCCACAGTGGCCTCCTGGAGTCCGCGAGGACCGCCAGACAGCAGTTTCAGAAGGCTTCTCTCTTTTTGAGGCACGCGTGCGGCGAGGGGGACCCATTGAAGCTCTACAAAAAAATCCCAGACAGCAGACGAGCACTCCAACACGCCCACTCAGTTGCAGACCACGGTTGCGGACGTGCCACCCGTGCAGCGCGCATGAGAGGCGTACGTCACGTAGGCTGCAGGCATCTTGCCGGAGGCGCGCTGTCTCAGATGCCCGCGGCCTCGTTCACTTCGGCACCCAGCCGAGGTTCGGTATCGTTTAACCGATCCCCATCCCCATCTCCATCCCCTTCGAGACCCCCACCAAATTACCACCCCAGTTGGGGATACAGCCTTCGAAACCCGAAGAGAACGATCTATGCATATCCCTATGAAGGGGGTTATATCGGCCAGCGGGGCCCAGGCCACGCCGTTGGAGATGGGGATCGGTTAAACGATACTCAAGGCCGCGAGAATTTGTCAGCAGTGTCATGCCCCTGCATTTTGGTGATTGGGAAATCCGGGACCCCACTGGGGGTGTCAGCTTTGCAGGGCACGAGCCCCGCGCAGTAGCTCTGTCTAGAGCAACGCCCGAGGTAACAAAATAAAAAAAGAGCTGAGTCACCCCTGCGACCCCAGCGCAATCCATGCACGGCTAATTGGCCTGGGGGGCTCGCGACCGAGAGGCGGCAGTCCTCAGACATGTGGCAGGCCGTGGTGCTGGTCTGAAGCCAGCCCCCGCCCACGTGGATCCACAAGGCGGCATCCACTTCCCCCGCTGGGCGCAAAGCACCAATCCTCTGCACAATGGAAGCACGCGTGGCTGTCCTTAGAGTCACGACCATCACGGTGAAGGCGGCCCGTCATGGCGACCTCATTCGGGTCCCCTTGTCGTGACCCAAACTGCGGTTGCTCGGTGCCCGTGTTTGGCGGGGGATCGTTAAACTTGGGCTCCACCCCAAAACCTGGGACCAGGAAGGCACGACACCTGCGGTCCGAAAGGGCTTCCAGGACGTCCTCGCTCGAGCATTTTTCCCTCCAGGGGGCAGTCAAGAGACACAAGAACACGTGATGGTGGAGATCATCCGAAGGAGCCTTGCGCGGGCAAATGTGAAGCTATGAGGTTTCCTGACGGCGCCAACGCGCCAACTTGGCATTCGTGCAAGAGCTCTGGCAAAGAAAACTCAGGATGATAGCTCGATTTGCAACCAGTGGCCCCGAGCCTTTTGCCAATGAGCTCCCGGCCCACTGCGGCATCAAGAACGCAGGGTAGCAGTTCAGGCCTCACCCCCCGCTGCGCTGCCGCACACGCCGTTCACTGCCGCCGCCCAGGCTGCCGCACTGGAGCCCCAATCCTGGCGGGAGCGCGGGAGCGTCGTCGGTGCAGGCGAACATCTCCCCCTTCCCGAGTGGCAAAAAAACAAGCGGCTCAACCGAAGTCCACCCCGCCGGGGCCCAGGGCAGGAGAGCGGTGCCAGGGTGGCCTCGCGCTGGCCGCCACGAGGTCGGAGGGGAGGCGGCGAGATTGCGCAGGCCAGGCCAGTCGGGCGAGGGTGGAAAAAAAACAAAACAAAAAAAAACGAAAAATACAAAAAAAAAAAAAAACAAAAAAAAAAACAAAAAAAAAAAAAAAAAAAAAAAAAAAAAAAAAAAAGTCGGGCGCGGGTGGGAGGGGGGCTGTGCCCTCCTCAGCCCGTCTGCGGCTGCCCCCCCCAGACGGTGGCGGACCACGGCAGCGCAGGTCCGAAGGCCTGCCGCCGGGCAGGACGGTCCAGGGTCAGCGAGGACACGCTGCGATGCCGAGCTTTCGGCGAAGAGCCAGCCGTAACTACGCACGCAATGCCCCAGTCGCATGCGGGAGCCCTGGCCCATGCCGATGACCCTCGCGCAGAAGAAACCACTGGACGGAAGCCCTGTGGCAGAAAGACGGCCCGCGGGCGCGCCCGTCCGCCGAACCGCCGCCGCCCTCTTGCTCCACCTGAGCCTCGCAATCAGCCCCCTGAGGGTGCATGGCGCGGGCCCCACAGCGCGCGTGACCCCCCCGTCTCCAGCGAAAAGATCGACGTCCGAGTTCTCGGCGCCGTGGCTGCCTGCATCCCCCGCGCAGGCGCCCCAAGCTCCGCCAGAAGTAAGCCCGAAGCCCAGATGAATAGAGATTGCATGAGGCGTTGCAGGAAGGAGCTCTCCTCTTCCTCGGCGGAAGGTGGCGGAAGCAAAACCAAGATGGCTCCGCCGGCGGATGCTCGGCGGAAGGCGGTGGAAGTAAAAGATGCGTCCCCAAGAGATGCCAATATTTGGGGGGCAGAGGTTCCTGCTTTGGCCACATACCGCTGTCTTGCGATCGGCTACTCCAGATTTCGTAACAAAGGGAGGGGGGTCTCATTTCGGGGGGGGGGTCTCTTCCGGGCTATCTTGGAGGGCCTGGGGGGTCTGGGGACGATGTTTTGGAGGGTTCTCCCACGGGGGAGGTCTGAAATGGCTTGTCTTGGAGGGTCCAGACCCCTCCCTTTTATTACGAAATCTGGAGTACCTGGCCTAAGAGCGCGCCCGCGATCGTTTGCCCGAGCCCGTGCAGCCGATTCGGCAGGACGATTGGCTACGGCCTGCTCGAGGCGGCCCTGCTCGGGGGGGCTCCTCCTCCTCCTCCTCCTCCTCCTCCTCCTCCTCCTCCCCTCCTCCTCCCTCCTCCTCCCTCCTCCTCCTCCTCCTCCTCCTCCTCCTCCTCCTCCTCCTCCTCCTCCTCCTCCTCCTCCTCCTCCTCCTCCTCTCCACGCCAGAGAGGGGGGGGGCGCTCTGATGCGGATCCCAGCTGTAGACCTACACGTGGAACGTGGCGCGCCCGCAGCCTGCCGCCTCCCAGGGAGTCGGGACACTCTGGCGAGGCCCCGGAACGGAACGCGGCGACGAGTCTTACCTTCTTCGAGGGCAAAACCGCCATCACACGCCCGTCACAGCGGGCGTCGCCGGCCAGCTGCCACAAGAGAAGCCGGTCAGCTCGGACGTAGTGTTCGCTCTTATCCTAAAGGCAGGCCCCGTGGCAGGGCTCGTTTCGATTCCTCCGATTCGATTCGATTCGATTTCGATGATTTCCGATTCCGATTCGATTCGATCTGGGATTCCGATTTGAGTTCCGATTTCTTATTGGAGGCATACTAGCCTGCCGATTTCTGCCGATCCGACTTTTCCCGACTCAGCTGCCGATTTCCGACGATCCGATTCATGTCGATCGCCGATCCGACTTGTCGATCCGATCCTGGGCTCTCCTGCCGTGGTGGAGCCACCAGTCTGCTGGACACTAGCTCGCCTCAACGCGCAGCGCCTGGAGGAAAACGAGCTCGAGGATGGACCTCCTTCTCTGGTGGGCGAGGTGCACGCTGGGATGGGCCGTCTCCCAATCCCGAGCCGCGTGCTGCCCTACCCTCGCGCAGAATGCGCAATGCGAGCTCAGCGTGGCACTCCCTCTGCCTGCGGGGGTGGGGCCCGACGAAGCTTTGGGGGTCAGAGCGGTGACTGCGGCCACAAGGGCCGAACAGGAGCTTCCATGCAGTTCAACGGGCATGAAGAGTTCTGCAAGGGCGCCCCCTGCCGGGCTCGGACGGCATCGCCGCGTGCCGCGGGCGGCGTGCATCGAACGCCGAAGCCGAACGGATCGGAAAGTCGTCGAAGCTTCCAGGGTGCAACGGGTTCTTGGCAATCACCGAGGGGATTCCATCCCAATGGGAGAGTGCGCCGTCAAGCACATCCCAAACGTCCTCGAATCGATCCCGTTCTGCAAGAAGTATCGCTACTCGGGAACTTGTCCAGCGCTCTCCCAAGACAACTTGAGAAGGCTTCCAAGTGTCGCAACATTGAGTCGAGTGGTGAGCCCATCCCATCTCCCCAGGACGCTTCGAGAACCCACTCACTCCAAACCTTCATCGCCGAGCCCCTATCTCTTCCCAGCTCGTTCCCCAACATCGCCGCCGTGCGCTGCTAATGGCCGGTGAGCGTGCAGGAAGTTGCCACCGCCATCAAAGTCTGCCGTTGCAAGTCGTAGGCCAAGGCGTCGCTCAACAGCTTGACATCCTGGAATGCGCTCGTGAGGACAAGGATTGGAACTCCTCAGGGCCTGGGTCAGCTCCTCCAAAACCCCCGCCAGCTCGGCGTGGGAATGCTCCAACTTAAAGGGGACCCGCTTGCACCAATTGTCTAACCGTCGGAGCGGGTAAGCATCAGACACTCAAGATTTGGGGTGACCAGCTCGTCTATCGCGGGCCTTGACCCAGACGATTTCGGATTGCCGAGCCCATCTCTGAATTCCTCTTCAGGGAAGCGTCAGTCTACGATGCAGTGGTGGCCTCGCACTGCCGCGCGAGCTGAGGATACACTTCCTCCAGCGCCTGCTGCGGCCAGCGGTTGCCACAGCCGCGCAAGAATTGCTTCTCCGCCAGAGTGCCTCGCAGCTCGTCCAAGCCGAATGTTCCCGCAGCGTCCCCCATGGGGTCAGGAGCGTCAGCCGCTAGAAAAATCTCAAGACAGGGATGCGAGGACGCTTGTCCATCTTAAAAGCTAGACATACAGGTCCGTGCGGCGGAGTGGGATGCTGGACCAGTACCACAACCGAGTCGGGGCGACGACGAGTAGGCGGAGGAGGCAGAGGGGGAGGAGCAGGAGGACGAGGCGGAGGACAGGAGTGAGGAGCAGCAGAAGTAGGATGAAAGAGGGGGAAAAGAGGGGAAAGGAGGAGAGGAGCAGGAGTTCGCGAAGAAGAGGGAGGGAAGGAGGGATATGAGTAGGAGGAGCAGGAGAAGGAAGTATGAAGAAAAGACAGGAGGAGAAGGAAGGGGAATGAGGAGAAAAGGGAGCCCCTACAATCCCAATCCTCCTCCTCCTCCTCCAGACACGCTTGTAGACATGAGTAAACCTCTGAGCACCTCCGAAAATTATCAGGGAAGATCTGATGCACTCCTCATCATCGACATCATCATCGCCCCCTCCTCTTTCGAGTATCATCCCTCTTCGTGCCTCCAGCTTCTCCAGAGGGAAGCAGGACAAGGAGAAGGAAGATACCTTGATGACGCCTGCAAGACTAATACTCTATGCCCGCGAGGACTCCCCAACTGCTCCGCACCTTATTCGCACCTCCCCTTCCCGTTCAGTCTGCAAGGGTGATCAGAGTTCGAGCTGTTCTTCGCCAGCGCACGTCGAGCAAAGGCACTGGTTCTCGCCGCTCGACGTTTCAGACGCTGCAAACTCCGTCGCTCAGAGCAGGAGGAGGAGGGGGAGGGGGCAAAGGAGGAGGAGGAGGAGGAGGCAGCAGCAGCAGCAGCCGCAGCGGCAGCAGCAGAGGGAGGAGGAGAGGGTGGAGGAAGAGGAACGAGCGAGGGCGAGGGGGGCAAGGGGGAAGAGGAGGAGGAACAGGAGGAGGAGGAGAAGCAGCAGTATGGGGAGAAGGAGGAGAAGGAGGAGGAGGAGCAGCAGGAGCAGGAGCAGGAGCAGGAGCGGGAGCAGCAGCAAGCGGACGAAGACGACGACGTCTCGTGGCCACAGCGCCTGGGGTCAAGGGCCCCGACCCGACTGGCGCCGCCAGAGAGTCGAGGGCCAGGACCGCCCGGGCGCCGCTCTGTGCCGAGCTTTCTCGCCCTCGTCCTTCCCTCCTCTTCCTCGCCCTTCTCCTCCCCCTCCTCCTTCTCCTCTTCCTCGCCCTTCCCTCCTCTTCCTCCTCATCGCCCTTCCCTCCTCC